GACATAAGTACAATCAAGGGATTTAAAGCTACAAGGCAACGCTAGTAAAAGTACTCAGATTCGTCTTAAAAAAAATTTACTTCTCTTTCCAACGTCAGAGTTGGGAATAATTCGCAACGCTAGTAAAAGTACTCAGATTCGTCTTAAAAATATTGTGCCGATGTTAATGGCCGACGTCTTAAACATTTACTACTTAAGATGTAATAAGTGTTCAGTAGGCTTGTCAGAGAACCAACTATTATTGGCATATGTTTCGCCACCATAACTGTTTATGTATGACACATTTCATTGTTTCATACCTTTGTGTAATGAACGTAAATATTGATGTAATGTGTCTTTATCTGTTTACAAATTAAACTTGATTAATTACGACTCGCACGATAGCAAAAAGTCGCGTCCCCGTTTAATAATCTCTTTTCTTAATATCAAATAAAATGGCTTCAGTTTCAAATTGAAACTCTCGCCCTATTGTTATAAAGTAGTTTTTGTAACTTCGGGTTGAAAACACATGACACGTCATTTAGGTGTAAACGTTCTTTAAAAGAAACAGGAAACATATGACAGTCATTCAGGCGTAAACGTTTACTTAAAGAAACACATGACAATCATTCAGGTATAAACGTTCATTCAAAGAAACACATGACACGTCATTCAGGTGTAAACGTTCATTCAAAAACTTATGACAGTCATTCATGTGTAAACGTTCGTTCATAGAAACGCATGACAGTCATTCAGTTGTAAACGTTCATTCAAAAACTTATGACAGTCATTCAGGCGTAAACGTTTACTTAAAGAAACACATGACAATCATTCAGGTATAAACGTTCGTTCAAAGAAACACATGACAATCATTCAGGTATAAACGTTCATTCAAAGAAACACATGACACGTCATTCAGGTGTAAACGTTCATTCAAAAACTTATGACAGTCATTCAGGTGTAAACGTTCGTTCAAAGAAATACATGACAGTCATTCAGGTGTAAACGTTTACTTAAAGAAAACGACGATACCACAGTTCTTTAAACCAACCGCGAAAATCAAAAACTAAACATTAGAAACTGTGAATATCCTAGCTTCTTTTTGATAAATAACGGTGTTTTTTTTAGTTTCAACTTAAAGCTCAAAAGTAAAACATCTAAGTATCGTGATTTAAATATCAATCAATCATAATTAGTAAGCAAGGAAACGAAATAAAAATAAGACAAATAAAAATAGTTCTATCTTTTCAAAAATTTTCTAATAAAAAAATAAAGGTTCAAATCGTTTCACTAAAAGTTAGATTAAGTAATCTAGTGTACCTACATAGTTTATAACTTTAAATCCGTCGAATGTACTTATGTCGGGTCTCAGTGTACAAACATAAAAATCTGAAAATTTGATTTACGTATTGTTTAAACTTTCCTGACTAATTTTCAAAATCTGAAAATTTGATTTACGTATTGTTTAAACTCCACTACTTCTAAATTATATTGTCAATGCCAAATATTATCAAAATTGTAGTGCAAAGTGGTCTCTCAAAGCCTTTGTTTTCAATAAATATGTATGTATACATATTTGTGTGCGTCTATACACGCGTGTGTAGAGATGCTATATAAATAAGTATATGTCAGTTAAGCCTAAGCAAGTACAGAATATAATTATATGTTGATGCACTTTATCTGGTTATTAGCTACTCCTTTCAATGGAATCATAGTGCTATGTCTTATGGGATCCTATCTCTCTCTCTCTACTTATATATACAATCACAAATACGTAATTTTTACCTCTCTTCCCAGCGTCAGAGTTGGGAATAATTCGCAACGCTAGTAAAAGTACTCAGATTCGTCTTAAAAAAAATTTTACTTCTCTTTCCAGCGTCAGAGTTGGGAATAATTCGCAGCAACGCTAGTAAAAGTACTCAGATTCGTCTTAAAAAGTTTTTACTTCTCTTTCCAACGTCAGAGTTGGGAATAATTTTGAAAATTAGTCAGGAAAGTTTAAACAATACGTAAATCACATTTTCAGATTTTGAAAATTAGTCAGGAAAGTTTAAACAATACGTAAATCAAATTTTCAGATTTTGAAAATTAGTCAGGAAAGTTTAAACAATACGTAAATCACATTTTCAGATTTTGAAAATTAGTCAGGAAAGTTTGAAATCATCCTTATTAGTGACCAACACAATGCTGCATTATTCGTGGGTATATTAGTCAGATAATAAACATTCTAGGGAAGTGTGATATTTTTTCTAATATATTATTTGAAAAATACACATGTTATTTGTATATTTGTAATATACAGACCTCTCCAAACAGGCTTAAAACAGTAGAGCGAAATGTAGCGTACTTTTAATTAACACACCTTGCTAAAATTTACTTAACAGACTTAACACACCTTAGTGAAGTGTATTGTATTTGTAATGAATAGGTTTTACACACCATTGTGTTGTGTGCTACATTTTTGTGTGTATTATTTATATTAGAGACTTGAAACTCTTGTATAAAACAAATGTAAGAAACCATAGAGATTTGTCAAGTCTGTTAACTATAAGTCTAAAACAAATGTAAGAAACCATAGAGATTTGTCAAGTCTGTTAAGTATAAGTCTAAAACGAGTGTACGAAACCATAGAGATTTGTCAAGTCTGTTAACTATAAGTCTAAAACAAATGTAAGAAACCATAGAGATTTGTCAAGTTTGTTAACTATAAGTCTAAAACAAATGTAAGAAACCATAGAGATTTGTCAAGTCTGTTAACTATAAGTCTAAAAATGTAAGAAACCATAGAGATTTGTCAAGTCTGTTAATTTTAAGTCTAAAACGAGTGTACGAAACCACAGAGATGTGTCAAGTCTGTTAATTATAAGTCTAAAAATGTAAGAAACCATAGAGATGTGTCAAGTCAGTTAAGTATAAGTCTAAAAATGTGAGAAACCACAGAGATGTGCCAAGTCTGTTAAGTATAAGTCTAAAAATGTAAGAAACCACAGAGATGTGTCAAGTCTGTTAAGTATAAGTCTAAAAATGTAAGAAACCACAGAGATGTGTCAAGTGTGTTAAGTATAAGTCTAAAAATGTAAGAAACCATAGAGATGTGTCAAGTCTTTTAAGTATAAGTCTAAGACAAAATTAAGAAGCCATTTAACCCGAGCGC